TCTCGGTCCAGCTCATCAACAGTGGCTATGAAGCGGCTTCCCGAGCCTCGCCTTCTGGTGGAGGCTGACCTGCACACCCCATCTCCCCAACAGGCTCATTCCCTTCCAGGAGGGGCTCAGCCTGTCATGAGGCCCATGCCCAGCAGGTTTCCCCACAGCAACCAGACCCACCGGGGCTGCCCAGGAAAAGCACAGAACAGTTTTCAATGCTGCTCAGACGCCGAGGTGTCACTGCCTGCCGTCGCAGAGCTGAGACCGGCCCTCGGGCCGAGGGAGCCTGTGACAGGTCTGGACTCGGAGCTGACGGAGAGGTGCCAGCTGTCCAGGGGTTCTGGGGGGGTTGCTCTGGGTGGTGGAGTCAGGGTGAGTTGGGAAGCCTAAGGGTCGGCTGGGCAGAGAAGAGGGGGCGAAGGCATAGGGCAGAGCTGCACCAACAAGCAACGGGAGGTCGAAATGAGCAAGATCGCCACCTCCGTTCTCTTCCATGGGAACTCTGGGATCTAGCTTGTTCTACCTGGAAGAGACGGAGCGATTTCCAGCACTTCCAGATCAGATTGAATTTTTGCTAAGTCCATGTTCTATCCAGACTATAATTTTCACACTGTTTTTTCTTTGAATTGATTCATTATTTTTTAACTTAGCCTCATTAATAATAGTATCTGTGAAATCATGGATTTGGCATGCAAGTTATATTTTTTTAATGCAAGTTAAAATAAACACATAACGACTATAATTTAAAACTTCACCTCTGGCCCTGCCGGTGTAGCTCAGCGGTTGAGTGTCGAGCCAGGAACCAGGAGGCCACGGGTTCAATTCCCGGTCAGGACACATGCTTGGGTTCAGGCTCGATGCCCTGTGGGGGGCGTGCAGGAGGCAGCCAATTGATGATGTATCTCTCTCATCGATGTTTCTGTATCTCTATCCCTCTCCCTTCCTCTCTCTAAAAAATCAATAAAAACATATTTTTTAAAAAACCTCTCATCTCCGTACTATGTAAAGGAACTGTACGGACCCCCTGAGACTCCACTCTGGGAAGTGCTGATGTAATCCTGATGCGGAGTCAGATGCAAGAGTGGAAGGGGCCTGCCTGAGCTCGCGCAGCCAGGAGTGACCAGCAGGCCGCTTGCCTCACAGCAGGACTGGTCCTGCGTGGTCTTGGGGAGAAGTCTGCAGGGAGGAGAGGCAGGCAGCGGTGGGCCGCAGCAGGGGCAGAGGCTGCGGGGTAGGGGGGCCTGGGGGAGTGGAGAGAGGCAGGCAGCCGTGGGTTGCACCGGGGTCAGAGGCTGGCAGGTAGGGGGACCTGGGGGAGTGGAGGAGAAGTGGGAGGAAAGGTGAGGAGCCGCCCTCTGCTTCTCCCCATTGGCTCTGAACGCCTTCCTCCAGGAAAGGAGCATCTGTGGCTGAGCTCCTGGCTTTATTTGAATCAAATGCAAAGTTTTGTTGTCAGTCAGATTCCCCGAGCTGGTTTCCTGGTTCTGTGGCTGTGTTTCCTTTTGTCCTCCTCTCCTTGGGAACTTCCTGTGAAGAAGTGAGTCTTCCCTTTCAGTCCTGAGATGGGGTGAGAGGCTCAGGGCGCATCGGGAGGTTTGGCAGGAAGGGGAGGCGATGGACAAGGGCAAAGCCAGGCCAGAAGCGTGTTCCTCTTACAGAGCATTTATTGAGCTCCTGCTGCCCGTCAGGCCCCGGGCTGGGTGCTCACTTGTGGCTCATCCTGCTTGGATATGTACCTGCCAGGGGTTCACCTGTGACGGCGTCCATTTGTAGGGTTCCCCATAGGGGGCGCCATCCTAAGGTGAAGCTGGACTCCATTGTGGGCAGCCCACGGGGTCCTCACCCAACCACTTGCGCACAGCACGGGACAGGCGTGCCGTGGGAACCAGCTGGCTGGTTGACGGGCGGTTGGTTGGAGCCTGTGTCACGGATGCTGGGCCGAGAGGTATGAGGAGCACCACTCCTCACAGGGGCTCCTAAACTTCCATCTCACTGCAGGGTTGGGAGCTGATGAACATGGTCATTTCTGGGCTCCATCCTCCAAATATCGAGTTCAGTAGGTCTGGCCTGGGACCCAGGAATCCGCATTTCTAACAAATAATATGGAGGGAGGCTCAGCAAAATCATCCATCTCAACCTGCCTGGCAGGAAGTCTCCGGTTTCCAGCCAGGAGAGCTGTGCTCATGGTTCGACTCCTTAGCGGGGTAACCTTGGACAGGTCGCTTCACCCGTCTGTGCCTGGCGGTGACGGTGATGATGGCATATGGACTGAACTATTTCTGAGGGTGCACTTGTGGGTTAGAAGCCTGAGAGAATCAGAGGCGGAGGTGATAATGGGTGGCTGTTTGCCTCTGTTCAGATAGAGGGGCCCCTTGCCGTCAGCAGCGTTCTCTCTGTGAGCGCCCAGCCTCCCCAGCCTGCACCTCCTGTGCTGAACTGAGCAGTTTCTGGCACACAGGAGGCAGCGCATGCCGGTCGTTGGGTGGATGGTCTGCTCCATCACATCAAAGAGAAAGGACACTAGCTACATCCTTTCTGGCAGGTGGGATGAGTGTGTGCACTGACAGCAGGAAATGTGTGAATACCCTCACCCCGTCTTCGCTCCTGTAGTTCTTTATGTAAAAAGTAAGTCCTCTAGCACAGGGTCCGGCGCACAATCCTGGGAGAGTCCTTCCCCTCTCCCTGTGTCCTGAGGGCAGCACCAGGGCTGGGCCCCCTGCATCCCTGGGAAGCAGCTTCTGTCCCCCGGTGTCTGGCCAAGAACCTTCGGGGAGCAGTGACCAGCCTGACCCTTGTCTGTCCTGGCCCCTCACAGATGTCCTGGCGTCCGCAATACCGAAGCTCCAAGTTCCGGAACGTGTATGGGAAAGTGGCCAACCGGGAGCACTGCTTCGATGGGATCCCCATCACCAAGAATGTGCACGATAACCACTTCTGTGCCGTCAACGCCCGCTTCCTGGCCATCGTCACCGAGAGCTCGGGAGGAGGCTCCTTCCTCGTCATCCCCCTGGAGCAGGTAGGTGCCCGGCTGCACCCAGGGCAGAGGGAAGCCCTTCTGATCACTGTTGGGCGGTTGCCCCTATTTCTCTCTGCACCGCTCCTGCGCCCCAACCACCTGTTACTTCCTCATCATGTGTCCAGTGTTTGTGCCTTCCCAGTATTCCTGAGATTCACCAGAACAAATGCAGGAGACCTGAGGTCTATTCCCAGAAATTCCCCAAAGGTGTGCACGTGGACAAGTCACTTTCCTTGGGGTGCTTGGGGTTCTCATTAAACTGAGGGGTTGGACCATCTGATCTCCAAGAGCAGGTCCAGCTCTCCCATTCTGTGTCCTGGATTTGGAGCTGGGAGGAAGACTCAGCCATGGGCACATTGGGCATCTACAAAAAATGGCCAACTTAAAAAAACAAAACCAATGTGAGACCTAACCGGTTTGGCTCAGTGGATAGAGCGTCGGCCTGCAGACTGAAGGGTCCCGGGTTTGATTCCGGTCAAGGGCATGTACCTTGGTTGTGGCCACATCCCCAGTGGAGGGTGTGCAGGAGGCAGCTGATGGATGTTTCTCTCTCATCGATGTTTCTAACTCTCTATCCCTCTCCCTTCCTCTCTGTAAAAAAATCAATAAAAATATATTTTAAATAAACAAACACAAAAAAAACCAATGTGAGCTCTCCACTGTGAGGCTGGCTGTCATTTCCCTTCTCCCTCATCCCCCACCTTCCATCTACAGGTCCCCCCCCCCCCGTGGCTGCCTTCGTGAATATAGCTAATTAATTGGCAAAGCCTAGATTTTGCAGCTCTGCCATCCAGGCAGAGTCCCCAAAGGCCCGGGGGAGGTCACATGCCTCAGAAAAAGTGCTCGCTTGTCAGCCCTGCTTGTTTCTGGCTGAGCTCTCCCTTCCCAGCCTGACTCATCTCCACTCCCACTTTCGCCAAACTGCTCAGGGGAGAAGGGCCATGAGGAACCTGAGTTCTTGCAATCCACGTCAGCTGGTGGGGGAGGCCGGCTCTTTGCAGCCTCTCCTACCCACGGTGGGGGAGCCCGGATCTGGGAGAGACTGGCCAGATCCTCGCTTCCTCCAAAGGGGGCAGCAGCAGTGACTGAGGACAGAGCCCCAGGCACGGACGGTCCGAGGGGCAATGGACTTGGCCACAGGAGGTCTGGGTTCTAGTTGGGCTCTGCCACTTGCCGGCCGTATGACTGACCTCGGGCTTGTCACTTACCCTCTCTGCACTTTATTTCTGTAATGGCACAATGGGGATCCTAGATTCTCCTCCACCTCCATCCAAGATGTTGGCATGGAGTGGGATAAAGGACATGAAAACTTGTGAACCACACGACACGTTTAAGATGTGTTGCTGCTTTCTTGGGAGAATCATCAGCTCTGTTCCTCAACTTTGCAGATGCCCTCAGCGGCTCTAGCACATTCTAAAGGACTCTGAAATGCAGCTTGCCTCCCTCCCAAACCAGGTGGGCTCACATGTCTGTCGCCCTCAGGGACGAGCTCAGCCTCAGCCTGCAGGTCCCCAGCAACGTTCGTACGGGGGCTCAAGCGCATTGCCGGCCCCCGGCCATGCTCCACTTGATGGCTCGCTAAGGTCAACAGTCAGTGCCTCACATTATAACAAAAGGTTATTTCCAGGTGGATTGAGCATTTAAAGAAAAGGAAAAGCTGCAAGTCTGTTGAAGGAAAATGGAGAGCATTTTAAATATCATACAATGAGGAAAGACTTTCTAAGGCAAGACAAGCATCCCCAAGCCATAAAGGAAATGATGAATAGAGTAGAATAATCTGTTAAAAAGGTAACGTTTCTGTACTACAATGATTCATGTAAGCAAAATTAGAGACAAACCACACAATTGAGTACAATAGTTAAAATATATAATAGACAAAAGATTCGTGTCCAGAATATATAAGGGTTCCAGAGAAATCAATAAGAAAAAGAGCATAATAGAAAATGGGTTGAGGATATGAGTAAGCAATTCTCCAAAGACAAAATATATCTTTTAACTTACTAAATAGAAAAATATTTAAAAGAGCAGTAGTCTTTGGTATTGCCAGAGTTGTGAGAGAGCAGGGACTCAAATGCACTCTTGGTGTATTACATGGTAGGTAAATGGAAACAACTTCGCAATACCAATTAACATTTAAAGGCGTATGTCCCTGGCCCAGCAATTCCACTTCTAGGAATCCATCCCTCAGAAATAGTTCCCAGTAATGTTTGTAGCATTTTTTAGTACTTGACATTTTTTTTTAAAAAGCACCAACTTTTTATTATTTCCAACAAAAATAAAACTCCTCTCTCAAATTGCATAAAGGTTTCTAAATTCTTCCGCTCCGTTTCTGGTCATAGGACCAGTTTTATACTGTCAGTAGCACTGGTCTAGCATATGATCAGATTTTGTAAACACTCCATGAACAGCGGAAGAGAAAGTACTCTTTACAGAGTATTTCTTCCTCTATAGAAATATACATGGTATCTGTACACATACATATATGGTCAATGTACACATAGCTTTCAACGTTATTTGTTCACGTTCTCTGATACAGCTTGTGTAATTTGATTAATCGTGGGCTGAGAGTGCTGGCTCACACTGCCAGTTGGTTCTGTTGTTTTCTCTCCTTTCATGAACTTTTCACCTTACGAAGTACTCCATGATCTGTGCAGCACTTTTATAATAGCGAACATTGGAGACAACCTGCAGGTTCGTCCATAAGGAAATGATGAACAGATCCGGGGCAGCTACACAGGACACCATGCAGTCATCGAAACTGATGCTGTAGGACAGTCCTTCTCAAGGGTTCAGCCTCGGAGTCACCGGACTCTCTTAAAAATTATTGCAGACCCCCAACAGCTTCTGCTTATAGGGGCCCTATATCTATCAATATTTAGCATATTTAAAATAAAAACAAAGGAACTTCAAAAATATGTATGTTAACTTACTTAAAATAAGAGCAATAAAACCATTTCATGCTCTCCAAAAAAAAAACAAAACACTTTATGAGGGAAATATATTTTCCAAAACAAACAAAAATAATTAGTGAGAAGAATGGCATTGTTTCACATGTTTGCAAATCTCTTAATTAGTCTAAGAGACAAGCGGGATTTGCATATGCACTTCTGCATTCGCCTGTTGTGACATCACACATCAGGCAGCCTCTGGAAGACCCCACCGTGCGCTCCTGAGAGCAGAGTGAAAAGGCAGCTCATGTCCTGCAAGTAGTTTTAACCCGGCAGACGCCCTGAAAAAGGCCTGGCGATCCCAGAGGCCCCAGACCAGACTTTGAGAACCACTGGTGCAGGAGGATATTTGATGAGAGAAAACTTGTTTCGAGTGAAAAAAAATACTAAAATGCTTAAAATATCCCATTTAAAAATATCTATGTATCCATCTACCGTCTGAAAAACACTGGGAGAATATACACTTAATATTAAGAGTATCGGGAGCGTGAGTGATCTTTTATTGTCTTTGTTTTCCATAACAATATTTTCTAAATTTTTCTTAGATGAACACTTAATGTTTTGTACTTTAGGCGGAGGAGGGGAATCTAGTAAAAGCAGTTTGCTGATGTGAAGAGGGAGCTCCTGAGGTTTCAGGGGCCACACAGCCCAAAGCTGGCTCCGTTCAGCACTCCGTTATGTATGTTGCAAATGTTCTCTCCCAGAGTAACATTTACTGGAGAAAACGCAAACTTACTTCATAGTGAGGGCAATGGGTGCGGGTGGGGTGATGGATGGCTGGGAGGATGGGGTGATGGCTGGCTGGGAGGACGAGGCAGCTTCTAGATCTGAGTGGTTCATTTCGTTTGAGTCAGGACCCCAGATTCTGTGGAGCCGGGTCCCACCCCCCAAAGAGGGGCTGCTTGGGAATCAGGGCCAACTCCCCCTTCCCCTGCTGCCTGGACCAAGGCTGTCAGTCTCCTGCCCCCTGTGGTCGGAGCGGGGCCTGCAGGCAAGGGCTTGGCTGCTGGGTGTGGGGAGGCAGGGCTAATAAACAACAGCAATAATGCTGAATTCAGAAACATCTCATTATCTCAGCAGAGATGAGCTGTTTCACGCTGGTCGATTTTCTGGGAAGAAGGTTATATTATTTTAGGTCCAGGTTTTTCCCTCAGTTTGATAGAAATCCCTCTAAAAACCAGTTTCCTGTGCTATCCAATACAAACACAGAAGAGGTGTGGGCCGTTTCTCGATGAACCCTAATCATTGCTTGCAGCGTTAACTAGGAGCTGTGAACTCACGTGGCACACTGTCCCTCCGCGCATTGTCCCTATGATGGCTCCAGACTGTTGTCCTGAGCAACCAAAAGGCCACAGAACATTGTCTGTGGTTGTCGATCTTTTCCGAATCCTTTTCCTTCTACTGTCAGTGTCCTTCTCATTCCTTCCTTGCTTCTCTAGAGGTTTGGGCCAGATGAGACCAGTATGAGCCAGGGACCCCCAAATTCCTGAGCCTTCGGAGAGAGGCTTCTTCCTTTGTTCCCTGTCCCTTGTTGTGAGTAAAAACTGTTCTCCAGGGTAGGAAGCCCTGTCCACAGCAACCCCAGACAACGGTGATGCCTTGCCTTTGTGAAGCACTCAGGCCCAACAGACTCTGTCTTCATCAGTCCTCTCGGGTGGTAGGCAGAACTATCCCCATTTTACAGGTGGGGAAACTGAGGCTACAGAGATGGACATACAGTTGGTCAGTGCAGGAGCTGGCCCTGAAATCAGCTCCCACGACTCTTTCCACGGCCCACGTCGCTGGTGAAGGAGAAGTTCTGGCTGGCAGAGCTCGGAGCAGTGGGTTTGTCCTCCCGGACTCTTGTTCGGGCTGCTGTTGTGAGGGCCAGAGCCTGGTTTGCCCTCGTTAGCATTCCGCCGCCAGCTCTCTCCTCTCTGGAGTGGAATGTTAAGCTGCAGATGGGGGAGCAATCAGCACCCTGGCTGCCTGGCACAGCTGGAGGGGCCTTATGAATATTCCAGAGACCGGCACGGTGCCCAGGCCTGATTAACCACTTGGGCCTCCCCAGGT